AATTATTTTTTTTCTCAGTTTTTTTTTTTTTATATCCTACATTACAAAAAGAAAAAAAAATATTAGAAAATTAAAAACAGTTTTTGTAAATATTTATTTCCAATGAGAAAGAAAAAAAAAAAAGTTTGTGTAAATATATTTATTGATAAAGAGGAAAAGAATTGAATTTAAAAAGTAAAAAAAAAAATAAATTGAAAAACTTTTTTTGTGATTGAAAGGAAAAAAAATAGTTTTCAAAAAAAAAAAAAAAACAAAAAAAAACAAAGAAAATATTTTTGACTAGTTGATCGATGACCTAGAGAGGTGTTAAGCGTACGAGATACATCGCAATGGACGTTAATCTGGCGTTATATCGTCGCCAAAGCCGCCAAATATAGGTTATATAACGCCTCGCTGGAGTTTAGCCTTGGCAGCTAAGCCCGCCGTGGAAAGCATGAGAAGCTCTAATGTTACCGCATCCAGGAACGCCGCGATTTCTCATCCTTATCTTATCTGAGTCCCGACACAGGCCACCACCTTCCACCTTCCACCCCCCCCCCTCTCACCCTTCTCACCCTCAAAAACACACGCCCAACCTTCTCTCTATCCTATTCCTTCTACTCATGTTACCTCTCCTCTTGCTCTTATACCTCTTGCCACTCCCCAGAGAAACGAACTTAAATTCGCTTGCGGGACTTTTAATTTCGCGAACCGAAGCGAAACTTTCAACTCTCCAAATTCCCCACTCAACCTTCTCTCAATCTCTCTCACTCTCTCTCTCTCTCTTTTTCCTTCGAATTCAACGAAATTTATCGCATTCCACTCGACATCTGTCATTGCCCTGACTCTTTCAAATGATTTTCTTCCATTTTATTTATTTGTTTTTCTAGAGAGAGAGAGAGAGAGAGAGAGAGAGAGAGAGAGAGAGAGAAAAGACACTTTTATCAAGTGTTAAACTATTTTCGAATAATTTGTTTTTGCGTCATTTAATTCACAAAATTTAAATTCTTTGAAAGTTTGAAACGAAATGTAAAAAAGAAAGTAAAATAAAAGTTATTAGATTTAAATTTAATAATAAATTATTATATAATTTTTTTTTAAAATTAATTAAAATTAAATCAATATAAAAAGAATCCCAATTAAAAATTTACTAATGGCGCAGTACTGGCGCAGTACTGGCACCTAGTATTGGCGCCAGAGTTGGCGTAACTTTGGGATGATAACATTTTACCAATATTGGTTACCAGAGTTGGCACCAGTATTGGTAACCACTACTGGTTCAGTACTGGCTGAGTACTGGTAGTTTTGTAATTTATTGTATACGAAAAGAAAGCTTTAACTGTAACAGAGATAAGTTTCACTGCAATAATGAAATCTCTGCTCCAGGTACTACTTTTTTTTTTTTAGGAAAAAGTGTGTGAAATTTTTAGTAACCCAACACAAATTAAATATTAATTAAATTAGTCAACTAACTAATTAATATTTTATTATATATAAAATCGAAAACACCAAGAACTTTTTATTCCTTATTAAGTAAAAATATATATTGCTAATTATTATTTTTAAAAATCAAAAAATAAATTTAAAAACGAACATAACCTTTAAATTCAAGTCATTTTTGGCGGAAACTCCACCTTCACTTGCGGCTACATTGAAAGTCTTGAAATTTACATAACCTTAAAATTTATGTCATTTTTGGCAGGAAATACAGAGAGAGATGAGGGAAGAGGGAAGGACTTACTGCTTTATTAGGGTCTTAAAACAAACACAACCTCAAAATTTAGGTTAATTTTTGGCGGAGGAGGGGAAATGAGAGGAGGGAGGGGGGACTTGCAGCTATATTCAGAGCCTTGAAACGAACATAACCTCAAAATTTAGGTCATTTCTGGCGGGGGAGGGGAGGGGACTTGCGGCTATATTCAGAGTCTTGAAACCAACATAACCTCAAAATTTAGGTCATTTTTGACGGAGAAGGGGAAATGAGAGGAGGGAGGGGGACTTGCGGCTATGTTCAGAGCCTTGAAACGAACATAACCTCAAAATTTAGGAGGCGGCGGCGATATCTTTTTATAATATAGTAATGATTATAATGTGTATAATTATACAATTAGCTATTTAATTATTTTATTATTCACTTTAGATATTTGCATCAAAATAAATTTTTGAAAAACTTTTTTCAGAAAATAAAAGTTGTTTTTTAATTTTTAACAAGTGTTGTTAAGAAAATTTTTTTAAAATTTTTATTTTAAAAATTATTAATTATTTTATAAAAAAATTTTATTTATTTCTAGTTTGATCGTTTAAAATTTTTTTTTGTTTTATTTTTTTTTTTTATTTTTATTTTTGGAATGAAACAAATTTTTTAAATAAATTTTTTCCAAGAAAAAGAAGAATTTAAAAAGAATTGAAATTCAGTTTCAGAATCAAATTGATTGATTCGAAAAGACAAATGTAATTATAATTAAGGATTGAATTAATAATAGCTTGGAATAAGTGTGGAAATTTTAATTAATTATTGATCTGAAAAAAAAGTAGAGAAATTTTATCAAAAAGTTAAATTATAATTACTTTTAATTTTTAATACATTAAAAATATAAATAAATTCTATTAAAATCATTTTAAAAAGAAATTTAAGAAAAGATCTTCTTTTTTTAACAACACTTTTAAAATACAATCAACTTTATTAAAAGTACTCTCTAAATATAAAATATAATTAATTCTTTAAAAAGAGAATTTCTTCAACATTAAAAATGGTAGAAAGATTTCTGAAAAAAAAAATTAAATTTTTTATTTAAACAAATTTTTAATATCATCTGGAAAAAAAATCTTTGTCAAAATTAAAGTCGTTTTTTTAAATTCTGAACGATTTCTTTATATAACCTGGTAAAATCGGTATCGATAAATTCTTTAGAAAATAAGAGTATTTTTGTTTCTAATTAAAACGTTGTTAAAATAAAAATAGAATTCTAAATATATAATGAAGAAAAAATTTATTTTTAATAAAAGTTTTTATGTTAGACAAAAGGTAATATAAATAATATTTTAAGTATACTAATAAAAAGGTTTTAAATTGAGACGTTTATAAATTTTTTAGTAAAGACAATTTTAAACAAGCAAATCTTATTTTTATAATATCGAAAAATTATATTACCTTTTTCAATTATTCAATCAGAAAAATTTTATTTTAAATAGAACAAGATTTTTTACTTTGTGTGAAAAATAAATAAAGCTTTCTTAAAATAGAATAATCGTTTCGAATCAATAGTTATTTTTTTCTATTAATTAATATTGTATCAGTAATTTAAAACAATTAAAATTAAGTAAATAATAATTATCAAAATAAAACAATGAAAAAATGCCAATTTCAACTAATGGAAAAGTTTACCATTTTTTTGTTTAAAAAAAAAAACTTTAGTCAAACAAAACTCACTTTTTATGTGCAAAAAAAAAGTTTGTGGATCAGACAATATTCACCTTTTAGAGAAAAAATGAAACAAACAAAACGCGTCAAGTTGGGAAAAGTTTAAGTTTCAAGTAGAAAAAGTTTTTTTTTTTTTTTTTTTTTTTTTTAATCGAAGGTTAATTTCTCCATTTACCCACGGCGAATTATGTTTATTTTTATTTTATAAATATAAAAATTTTTTGGTAAAAAAATATTTCGATATATTTTCAAGTCGTTGAAATGTTTAAAAACAAATTAAAAATGTTTTTCACTCTCGCGAAAGGATTGCAATGCCTGGAATATTGTTAGAGTTGCTTCCCTAGAGCAGTTTAATTGAATCTGTTAACTAGTTGCGTTCCGTTGCATTTTGTCCGCCAAGCGCGTAGTTTCACCAATTTCGTAAATCACTGTTCTCATTTGTTTTGCAAAAAAAAAAAAAAATAATAAAAAAAAAACAGAAAACAAAACAATTTAAAAAAGACATATTGCATATATATCCTAACATAAAAATCATCATGTAATAATAATCACGACAATGAAATGTGAGAAATTTTACTATAATGAAAATTAACTTAATAATAAAAAAATTCTATTTTTTTTTGTTTTTTTTTATAAATATTTTTTTGTTTTAAAAATGAAAAAAAAAATTCTCATATTTATTTATAATCGTACTTTTTTTATATACAATTTTTAATCGTACTTATATACAATTTTGAATGGTATTTACTTTAAATATAACACAATATTCAAAATCAAAAGTCAATTCGTTTATTTCAATTTAAAATTTTCTTTTTATTCATCATTTTAAAATTACTATAAAAATATCAAATATGATTTTTTTCCATTTAAATATATATAATTTGCTTTATATTTTCAATTTTAACCTGAATACTGATTGATGTTTAAAATTTTTTTCAAATACAAATATCATTGTAGTAGAGAAAAAAAATTCTCTTTCTCCTTTTTTTAAAAAAAAAATAAATTGGAGTTATTTAAACTGATTTTGAAATATGATTTGTTATACTATTCAAAGAAGCGTATATTTTTCTAGCAAATTTTCCACTATTCAATTCAGATAACTTGCTTCAATTTTGTTTCTCGCTAGTCGAACAGTCACGTCTTCTCCGTGTTGTTTGCACTATTCGTTTGTAGAGAGAGACAGAGAGAGATAGAGACAGAGAGAGATAGAGAGAGAGAGAGAAAGCACATTACAAAATCAGCACCAACTACCAATCGTAATGTGTGAGTGTAAATTTTCACAATTCATGTACATTTTGTATCGTGGCAATATATTCAGCTTGCTAATATCCATATATTGGCATATTTTTAATACCATTTCATATCTCCTTTATTTCCATTGCATGACAAACAGATTTTTTAATTTTTTTTTTTAATGTACGAGAAAAAGTTAATAAATTTCAAAAATATTAAAATTTTTGTCATTAAGTAAAAATAAATTTCAAAAATATTAAAATTTTTTTATTAAATAAAAATAAATTTTAAAATAATAAAAATTTTTGTTTTTTTTTAAATTTTTGAAAAAATAAATAATATTAAATAAATTGATTTTAATCTCCGTTGATGATGAATAAAAAGGAAATCAGTATAATTTATCACCTCTAATTTGTTTTCACAAACGATATCACAAACAGCATCGAAGTCATTTTAAGAATCATTTGTCATACTTTAGATAAAAATCTATAATGTCTAAATTTTTTTTTTCTCCTCCGTGCGTGCTTTAACATCCTTAAGTAAAGAAAACATTCATCATCATTTTCGTTTCTTTCTTTCTGTTTTTTTTTTTTTTTTTTTTATCAAAAGATAAGTTTATTGTCGAATTTCACAGTAGAGCGAGATATCTGCACTGCAGATGAAAATAGCTTGTAGAGAATCACATTTATTGCTGCAGTTTCGCACTCTCACAGTTTTCCAGTTGTAAACTGTTGTTGAACGGCTCTGAAAAAAAAAAAATAAATAAAATAAAACAAATTATCCATGTCATTTACTATAAATTTACTTTTAAGTAAAATATGTTTTTAATTTTATTATTTTATTTTCAATTAAAAGGAAAATTGATTCCATTAATTAGTAAAAAATATCTAAAAATTAGTATAGAAATTTTCAATAATTATTTACTAATATTTTTTCTACTATACTGTTAGTGAAAAATTACTAATAAAAAAATTAAATTTTTTTTTTTTTTAGTAATATTGTTCTTACTAAACTTGTAGTGAAAAATAATTAAAAATTAGTTGAAATTTTCACTAATTTTCTAGTAATATTTTGTTTATTAAAATTTTAGTGAAAAATGACTAAAAATTAATAGATATATGTACAAAAAAAAGATTAGTTATTATTAAAATTTAAATACAAAACAGATATATGTATTTTTATATTTAAATTAAAAACGTTTCTTTCGTGAATATTTCATATTCTTTTTTTTTCTCAACATTTATTTTTATATTTATATATGAAAGATAAAAGAGTATAAAAATCTTGTCAGCAAGCAAGGAAGAAGTATTTCATCTTTACGATGTGTTTTATGAAAATAGTTGTTCCTGTGAGTGGTTAAGGCTTACTCTATACGCGATATGCCGACAGGTTGAAACATGTAGAACGTTTTTGAAAGCTCGCTTATATATGTGGGTATTTCAACTTGTAGGGAGAGAGACACGAGCCTATTTTACAAGAAAGGCAAAACGTTCGCAGGTAATTGCTGTATGAAAAAAACTAAACAAAACAAAAAAAAAAAAAAAAAAAAACACATTCACACAGACACAAAATGAGCGTTTCGTGTAAGGGTGGATTTTTTTTTTACTTGTTTTTCACCTCCCTTTACACTTTCCACCTCTACTATACCTATTTCTCACCCTCATCTGTCCGTTTTACGGTCTCACTGACCCTTTGCCTATCTCTCATTCCTTCAACCCCTCGTTATTCTCTCTCTCTCTCTCTCTCTCTCTCTCTCTCTCTCTCACTCACTCACTCTCCCTCCATCATCGGTGAGAACGAAACAGGTGTCGCAAAGTAGCGTATGTCAAAGTGCAATGCATATATATAGATATTTCAAACACTAAAACAAATGCATTTATTCTGTACAGAAGCACCTCTTTAATTAATCAACCATTCTACGATTGTTTAAATAGACATGACACTATGTAACGTAGGTCAACAAACTTCAATATATATATATATATACACATACACATCAACAAAAACGAGATAGTGATAATTTTACGATCAGATGATTAAATTAAAATTAAATTATTGAATACGTTACATTATTATTGAAAATGTATGTAAATTAGTTAAAATAGACAAAATTTTACATATTAGTAGATTAAATTTTTAGACAGACATAATTATGAATTGAGTAAATTTTTTTTAGTTCGATTTTTTCAATTTTATCAGTAGTACGAGTAAATATTGAGTCAAACTAGATTATGAAATCAGTAGTACAAGGTAACTATTTAGTCAGACGATATTAATAAGTTTTAAAATAAGTAGTACAAGTAAATATTTTGTCAGTCATAATTACTAAATTATTAATTAAGTATAATTACTGAATTATTAAATAATTAGTACAAGCAAATGTTTAGTTAGATTTTTTTAATATAGTAATTTTATCAGTGATACAAGTAATTATTAAATCAGACGTAATTACAAGATAACAAAATAAGTAGTAAAAGAAAATATTTAGTCAGACATAATTACTAAATTATTAATTAACTAGTTCAAGTAAATATTTAGTCAGATTTTATTTAATACTGTAATTTTATCAGTGATACAATTAATTATTAGGTCCGACGTAATTACTAAGTTGTGAAATTAGTAGTAAAAGAAAATATTTAGTCAGACATGATTACCAAATTTTAAAATAAGTAGTAAAAGAAAATATTTAGTCAGAAATAATTAGTAAATTAAAAAATAACAAGTAATTACTTAGTCAGATTTTAATACTACAAGTATGTATTAGTCAAACTAAATTTTGAAACTAGTAGTATAAGTAATTATTTACTCATACGTAATTCCTTAATTTTAAAATCAGTAGTACAAGTAAGTTTGAAGTTGTAAATAATTAAAAAATTAGAAAATCAGTAGTACAAGAAAATATTTAATCAGACATAATTAATAAATAAAAAAATTAGTAGTGTAACTAAATTTGTAGTCAGACATAATAAAAATCAGTAGAAAAAGTTTATATTTAATCAAACGAAATTGGTAAATTAGAAAATCAGTAGTACAAGTATATTTGTAGTCAGACATTGCAACTAAATAATAAAATCAGTAGTGCAAGAAAATTTTTAGTCATACATAAATACCATATTATAAAATCAGTAGTATGAGTAAATTTGTAGTCAGCAAAATTTAGAAAATAAGAAAAAAAAACAGTAGTGCAAGTAAATTTGTTGTCAGACTTTCTAAACATTTGTATATTTATCATTTGTACAATTCAGTCAATTTTTGTTTCTTTTTTACAAAGAAAATTGTCAAAATTTTTTTTCCATTTTATTCATTTTCCACTTTATTTTCTATTTTAATAAAGCCTATTAAAATATTTTTTTCAATTTATTAGTCTTTTTTTTCAAAAAGTAAAAAGGGAACATTTTTTTTCTCTCCTTATCATAAATCCCTGGTACTTTAGAATTTTTTTTATTGCCTTCTATTTCCTCGGAAGCAAAAAAAAAGAAAATTCTTTTGCTTTTGCGCTTTTATATCGACGGCATTCTTAGTCGCGCGATCATTGTCGATCTTCTTCTTCTTTTTTTTTTCTATATACAGTGCTGTTTCTTCTTTACTATGATGCTGAAAGAATAAATGTATATATATATGTATATATGTGTGTGACTGGAGACGACGCAAAAAAGCTTTAAAAAATAAATGTTTTTATACTTCAGTGCTCACGAAACACGAACCTTGTCGTACGGTTGCATCAAGTTACTTTCGATAGAGCCTACGTGATCCGAAAATCGAATATTCTCCGTTTGTCAATACCACATTCTATACGTTTTGAGATTCACACACTAACACATACATATATATATATATATAGGAGAAGAAAATTTAAAGCTTATCATTTATGATAAAATGTATTCCGTCTTTGATATTATTTTTGAATAGCTTTGCATTATTGTATAAAATGAATTTTTTGAACAATTCAAAGTCAAATAAAATTTCTTGATAGAGGTAAATATTTTATTTTGAATAATAAATAGAATATTAATTTACTATTCGTTAATTTCATTCAACAATTATTATCAGTTTTACTTAAGATTAAAAAAAAAAAAACAAAATTCTACTGAAAAAAAAATTTCTTTGAAGTAGAAAAAAAAGTTTCATGTCAGACGGAAAATTGTTCTTGAAAGGAAGAAAAATTTCTTATATCTAACAAAAAATATATTTGACTATAGAAAATAAATAAATAAATAAAAATATAGATAAATATTGTATTTTATATTGTAACCGCTATATAAATGTTGCAAATAAAATGCATCTTATGAACCCAAAAAGCACTCTAAAGTTGAAGTTTCTAGTCATGGCGCACACTTCACTCCAAGTGTACAAGATCAACGATCTTGTATTGGAGTATCTCGATTTCCTTTAGACTTTGGGAGGTCATGCTAACCGTCAAGTGTTCTTCAAGACGAAAAGGGAACAGAGGGTAAATCCTCGAAAACGGATCGATCGAGTTCTCACGACCTCGAGAACGAGATACCGTTGAAGTCGATAGGATTCAACGCCGAGGACCTATATATATATATATATATATATATTTCTACAACTCGGAAACGCTTAAGGGAAGTTTTTTTGGATACCGTGTGGAAGTAAAGTTTTAGAATTGAGGGCGAGAAGAAGAAGAAGAAGAAGAGAGAGATTCCTCGTTCGCTCTACCAAGTTGGATCGTAAATTCGATATTCAAAACAGGAAGCGAACAATGCCTCCTCTTCGACATTGCAGCCTCCCACACCGCAACTTGGTTCGTATATAGTCTCCAATAAATTCGCTAGTAAATGATTCGACCATGAAGAAGGTCCTATATGCTTGCTATTTTCTCCTTCAAGCAAATGCCATAAAAACACTTGGATAATATGTGTATATATATATATAGAAAAAAAACTTAAAAATAGTGGGAAAAAAATTGGAAAATTTTATCATGAAAAAATTTAAAATAAAAAGAATATTAATAAAATCTAATTTTTTGTCCCAACTAGAGCTCTATTAGTGAATACACACACGGAGAAAAAAAGTTAGCTATATTAGCTAAAATTTAGCTATTTTAGCTAACCCTATTTGTTATTATATGGACAGCAATTTTCGTTAGCTAATACAGCTAAAAATTAGCTACTATAGCTAAAATAGTTTGCTGTAACAGCTAAATATTAGCTACTGTAGTTAAAAATTAGCTATCCATATAATAGCAAACTTATTTTTCTCCGTGCAAGTAAAGAAAAATTTTAATAAATATTTACTTGTTCTACTAATAATTAAATAAAAATTTAAAAAAGTCTGACTAAATATTTACTTGTTCTACTGATAAATAAATAAAAATTTTAAAAAATCTGACTAAATATTTATTTGTTCTACTGATTTTCTAAGGTAACAATTCTGTCTGAATAAATATATACTTTTAGTACTGATTTTTATAAATTTAGTTATTGAGTAATTACGTCTAACTTTAAATATATTTGTACTACTGATTTTATAATTTAGTAATTACGTCTGATCTAATAATTACTTGTACCACTGATAAAATTACAGTATTAAGAAAAACTCTGACGGAATATTTACTTGTACTACTAAAAATATTAAAAACGTTTAGAAAGTCTTACTAAAAATTTTCATATTCTACTGATTTTCACATTTAGTAAATATGTCTGACTACAAATTTATTATACTACTGATTTTCAAATTTACTAATTCTTTCCAACTACAAATTTACTTATACTACTGATTTT